AACTGAGATTCGTCTGGTGTCAACACTGATGACATTTCAGCACCAGGTCACAACCTTCCTGTTCCAGAAGGCTTTTAATTGAAATAATATCAACTGTGGGTCCTGAGGGCAACTTTTGGAATATATATTTTAATTGTATTTGGTTTTATCTTTTTTACTGTAGTTAAATTGCTGTAAGTCACCCAGAGACCTTTGGGTAGTGTGGCCGGCATATAAGTTTTCTTTTAAAAAAGACCCATATTGTCTTTGATCCTACAAACAAACAAGCTGTGAGAGAGAACATATCGCCTAAGTCCAATTTGTAAAACTATGGATGTTTCTTACATGATTTCAGTTCAGGGTGGCATATGACAATATGCATTCGGGGTGAGAGGAAATCAGTGTTGATTGTACTATGACGTCTCTTCCTGTGATGACTAGAACTGGAGAAGCAAGAATAAACCTTGTAGGATTATACACTTGTGACATCATACCAATTTAAATGCAAAGATTTTGACATCTGTACATAAGCCACTGCATTTTATGAGTGGTCGATTTTGCTCAGAAACAGAAAGACGGCCTCCAAATATGTGCATCCACCCATAAAAAGGAAAGTGAGACCTAATTTTTCACAATGGAACCGTCCCATTTTCTGCTATATGTATTTTTAAGGTTAAATCATCCCTCAGTTTCTTTTAGCCTTCTTAAGTTTCACCTTTCCAGTAATATTCATGAGAAATAAAATGCATTTTGAAGCCCACACATCTATATGCATACCTTTAGAGCTTCCAATTCTCAGTTTATTATTAAGGTTAAGGAACAATCATATTTAAACCAATATTAACTCTTAAGGCCCACTGTCACCCAACTCCTCCAAAAGCCAAGCTTCCACTCGTTTTCCGTTTTGCCACTGTGGCAGAATTGTGGAAGAGGACAAACCATTTTCATACTTAATGCCAGCTTTTAAGTGATACTAGACATCAAACATTATGCCATGGAATAAAATCTATCATTGTTAATATGAATTCAATTTGCCAGCTCTGTAAAACAGCAACACGGGAAGCATAAGGGAGAGAGTATAATTCATTATTTAACTAAACTTGAAAGCCTTTCAACTGCAATTGTTAAAGACTAAGTTCTGCAGGCAGCTAGAGTATGAACAGAATGGGAAATATGATTATTTTCTTGGGAAGGTAAGGATGAATATCATACAATCTAAAATAAGCTCTCCTTTTCCTCACCTAATACTATTATAAAATTCAAAGGCATTTTGAATGTGTACAAGAGCATTTTGGATCTCTGTTTACAAATGAAATTGTGTCTTGCCACATGAAACTTTAAATTCGCAATAAAATGTCAGCTTTTGTCTTTCTTAAAGAAAGACTGCCTTTTAAATAAAATCACGTAAAATAAAATAAAGCTACACAGTGCAAAGGAAAACAAAGTATTCTGTGACACTGAGAAATTCAAGAGACTCAGATTTCACCGAGTCTCAAAAGTGCATTAAGTTAGTCTGGATCCAGATTAAACAATAAGTGATCAAGTGTCTTTTAAACAAATTAACAGCAAATAAAAGCTTCCTATTAATCACCACATGGGGAATCGGATAGAAATTTTAAATACAATAAAGGTGCATAAAAATAAGCCTTGCCTTCTGTACTCGAAACCCAGAACTTCTCAACAACACCTGCTGCAATTCAATACCTAGGAATGTAGATTTCAAGGCATACATCTCAATGCGCTTGTTTTTGTATTCTGGATAGAGATAGGGAAGATAATGAAGTGTTCACTTGCACATGGGGCCACATGTTCATAGCATTTTAATGCATACAGTGCAAGAATTATTACAGCTCTAAAATTAAAAACAACTAGTAGTTTACCAATGAATTTTATGAGAATGAATTTTGTTCCTAACCAATTTTTTATACAGGCCTGCTCCAATGGTGAGAAAGAATAAGGCTGCAGTCTTAAATCCAATTACTAGGCAGAACTGAGCATAGTAAGACTTATGTCTGCGTATACATGTACAAAATTACACTGTCAGATTGTAGTCCCAGACAGGTTTGCCAGGAAATATGTTGCGTTTACCTTACTTCTGAGTAGACATGCCTATGACTGAACTGTCAAACATGCACTTTACTTCCTCACTGCTTCCTTGGATCATGCCTTTATTTTCTTTGAAAGCAATAAGGCACAGCAGTTCCAACATATATAATATAATTATAATTATATTTTTGTCACAAGATGATGAAAGGTTTTGCTATTGGTCCCTCTCTCTCTCTCTCTCTGTGTGTGTGTGTGTTTGATTAAGCAGCAATAAATCCACACTGCTATCCCAATAATCAACAATTTAAAGTCTCAGAAAAAGTTGTATTTAACCCCTTTATATATTCACTTACCATTGTATCAGTGAAATAGAATCTCACATTTTATTTAAAACAGGTTATTTATGTTTTGTTAACTTCAAACTTAATTCTCTATTCAATGCTATTAATTTGATTTTGGTTTGTTATGAGAGGCGAGCTTATTGGCAATACTTTAAACTCCTATCAACCATAGTTCCACTGTTGCTTTAAGGTCACTGTTTTCTTTGGACTGAGACTCATCCTTTTGCACAGTTTGAAGCCACATATTATGACCTATGGGAAGTATCCCCCAGATTATTGAGCATTTCTTTCCAAAGCTTTTAACACTTAATGACATATTTAAGAACACAAATTGGTGTAGATGTAGAATTTTAGCATTTCATGTATTTAGCGTCTCAAGAGCAATATTGATAATATTTGTGTACTCTTTCCCAAATAAATGTAATTAAGGTGATTGTTACTTCCTATGGGCTACAAAACTTTTCACCTTTGCTTTTTTTAAAAAGAGAGACATATAGATCGGCTTTTGCAGCTATTCATTTGTACAGCCAATCCAAAATAAGCTCAATGTGTTTTCCTTTCCTAACTAAGGAAGTAGCTCTCATCTCAATTGTTTACTCAAAATCACAGAGGACTTAGTATAAACAGAATAAGGAAATACTTGCCCTTTGTAGTTGTACATTATCTTCCCTTCATTGTCCATTCTTTTAGAAATAAAAGCAGTATGCTCAGTATAAGAAAGTTATTTAAACTTTTATCTGCAATTTACAGCTCTGATGCATTTTATTTACTATTTACCACTGTTCAGCAGCAAATCTGTTTTGGCCTGATTTTATCTCTCGTCTAACATTTTAGTTGTTGTAAAAGTGTGAAAGTGAACCAAGGCATGTTAGAAAACTGTGAAAGCTCAGAAATAACTTACATATTTATTTTGTGCAGCACTTTCTTTAATTAGCATACCTTCTACAATAATCAACTTTTGTTTCTTATCACCAGCCCCAGATAAACAACATATTTAACACTTGCTGCGCCCTGATAAGAATGATCCTGGGTTTAACTTGCTCAGGAGCAAAGTAAACACACACATTGCATTTCTGTGTATGAAAGAGAGAGACACAGAGAGGGAGAAGTTCCAGTTAACCGCAATCTACAGTGAGCTGTTATGCCATGTCTTAAAACACATTACAACAAACTCTCAAAACTATTTTTCTGAAAGTTTCATTTTGTAAAAACATGCTGCTCTAGGCAACAATTTGAGTGTTCACAGTATTCTGCATTACCGTAAGCAAGGTATACTGTTATGGAAATACCTACTAAGAAAAAACACAAGTTTCAAAGACTACCCAGATTTTTTATTTTAAAGTCAGGTGCATTCAATTTATACAGACTTTGAACACTCCCGTGCAGAATTACAATAATTGCTTGTTGATTTTTACTATTAAAAAAACCACATTGTCTCTATTTTTTAAAAGTGACAAAAGTTAAACTTTTAGACTCAATCAGAGACTAGCTCCTAAATTGTGTTAGCTTGTCCGATTGATTACCAATGATGACCTAATTGTAACTCAAATGTTTTTTATCGCCATCTCAGCTATTGATCACATCAGCTAAGACAGCATTATTTTTTCTTTTCTTCTTAACTATTCAGAAGGGAGAACTGCAAGTATTTTAGAGTAACTAAGATATCCAGGAACCACAATGATATTAAGCATACTTCTGTAGTTAATGCTCCATTGAACTGTCAAAGAGTATGTTAAAACAATGTGATACATGACCATCATTTATCTAAATCAGCGTCAGGGCAATGAAGCATCCTTCAAGGGTCCCCTCCCTTTAAACACAGAGAATGTGGTGATGGAACTTTGCTACTTCTTGCTGTTCTCAGACTTGAAATAGCACTGTTAAGCATGCCACCTGTGCCCTCCAACACTTTCTAAAGATTTGATAACAAAATACCAATTTTTAAAAAAAATCTGCACCAGCAAATCTCCCCCCCCCCCAATGTCCTGGGTTCCTTAGAGAAAATGCTGGTATAATTAATGGCAAAACACAAGGGGTGTTCACCGTTAGTCTTCTAGTGAAAACAGGGGATTCTTACAGCAACAAAGTAAAAAAAAGAAAGGTGGCAGCAAGGTCAATGCAAAGAAATATTGCTGCTCCTTTTTTTTTCCCCTGAGAGAAAAAGAAACATCTTCGGAAGCCTACAACTTATACCGGGCAGCATACTGACATAATGTGAACTGGTTGTTTAGGTGTTAAATGCACCTGAACAAAAATATATAATCCACATATGAAGAGAGATGAGAATTGTATATAATTTTTCTCCAATAATTAATGAACAATTTTTAAAATAAAATTACTTCGAATTCTAAAACTATAAGGTTCCCCCCCCAAAAAAAAACTAGAGAAAGACTATGAAAAGTGAAATACCCCCAACATACTTAAGTTGCTGCTGATCTTTTTTATTTAAACTGCAAAACATATGTGTGCATGCATAGACATGTGTCTACATAAAACTGTGCTCTGGAAAGTATGTCTTTTTCCCTTGCACTTTTTCATTTTCTGGTAGCATTTCTTTTCATTTATTTCATTTTTGGCATGCAAATAAAATACAAATAAGGGAGAAAAGTGGAACAAAGTAATAGCGGGACCTACATTGCGCACTGTGCCGATGTTGCCACTCTGTTTGAGCCAATCCACTGAAGCATGCTTTCAGAGCCTTCTCTTGCAGCATGCAGGAAGACGGACTTGCAGTGTAGAAATCCAACATCTGACCAGGGCTTACTGCTAGCACATCCATGCAGTCAAACATGATTCCCCCTCTACTGTATGTCTGTAAAAGTGCCTTCCTCTAGGTACGGAGGGAAATGGCATATAAAAGTACATCCAACTCCATCAAACTCTGCCCCTTTTTTGGCACGTAGGCTGTTGGTCTTTTTCCCAGACCAGAATCATGAATTATGACAGACAACACAGCTAAAAGCCTGTAATTGATCCAAATGATCATTTACCATTTTCCAGGCTGTTCAGACAATCCAGCAGAATAGGGGGAAACAAACAGCATTCCAACTTTCAGATCTCATTCCTCTGTTGCTCGAATCTTTGAGCAGCCTTCTTGCCTCATAGGCTCCCCCTGAATAAATGAAAAAAAATATTGTATCCTGGGTAGCGTAGAAGTTTTGTTGATAAAACAGGCTTTGATAGGAGCACTGGATCCCCCTTTGCCAGTGAATAGATCCTTCTGCCTTCAAACAGCTCACTTCCTACTACTTGTGTCACACAGAATGAAAGATTGAATTGCTTAATATATGCGAGTGAACTTTCTATGAACCCTTCCCAGGCTGCTAACCTTCAAATGACCCAACCAGTCTGACATCACCAACTCCCAGGATTCTCACACTGCTTAAAAACTCCCAGCAGCCTTGCAAAATAAGGCAGGCAGGCACGGAAGCAGGCAGACGCTAGTTGCCGCACCTTGAATAACTTGCTTTCGGGAAAGGAAAATAAACATTTTAAAGATATTGTATCCGTGTATAGCTATCTGAAAGAATAAAAAATAGAAATAACAGTTGCCTCAGGATTTTATGCAGTGAGCATACAGAACTTGATCTGTGTATTTATATATACAGATTCTATGCATGTCTGCATGCACACACACACACACACACACACACACACACACACACACACACACACACACACACGGAATTTAAAGTCAGCCCTGTGTCAAATTATTTCCCACAGCTTTCTCCTCCAAGGATTCCCTGCCTCATCATATACTCAGTTCCCTGTGTAGAGATGCATCAGATCCCCTACTATGCTGCCCTGGGGAGTTAACAATGTGATATTCTGTATTCACAGGATTGCAAAGCAGAGTTAATTTTCTGGGCTGGTACACAGAACACAAAATGAGTGTCAGGCCAGCATAAATGTTCACACAGCTTTTCCAAAGGCTGGAACTTTGTTCATGCCTCCCAGCTTCAAGATGCCAAATGTGTACTTTTGGGGATCTGGATTTACATAAACTGAGGCTAGACCCACTGAGTCTGTGTGATGACTACTGAACCCATATTGATTTCAAAAGCTCTGCTGTAACTGTGAATAAAGCTGGATCCAACCCAACTGTACAAATTGACCCTTCATTCAGTGAGATGATTGGCAGTTCAAAGCAAAAAAAAAAAAGTCTGGAATATGTAGATGAAAAAAAATCTCTCTATGCTCTAAAATCCCCTTCACAGATTGCTGCCTTGTCATGATGAAGGGGATTGAATGATTCAGAGAAACTATGGGCTATGTCATGCAGGGACCCCCAAGTCAGACAGGTCATGGTGGAGAGTTCCGACTAAACGCGATCCACCTGGAGTAGGAATTGGCAAGCCACTCCAGTATCTTTGCCAAGAAAATTCCACGGAGAGAAACAAAAGGCTAAAAGATATGACGCTCGAAGATGAGCCCCTCCGGTCAGAAGGCATCCAACATACTACTGAGGAAGAGCAGAGGATCAGTACAAGTAGCTCCAGAGCTAATGAAGTGGTTGGGCCAAAGCCAAAAGGACGCTCAGCTGCAGACGCGCCTGGAAGTGAAAGGAAAGTCTGATGCTGCAAAGAAAAATACTGCATAGGAACCTGGAATGTAAGATCTATAAACCCTGGTAAGCTGGATGTGGTCAAACAGGAGATGGCAAGAATAAACATTGACCTCCTGGGCGTCAGTGAACTGAAATGGACGGGAATGGGCAAATTCAATTCAGACGATTATCATATCTACTAGTGTGGGCAAGAATGCTGTAGAAGAAATGGAGCAGCCTCATAGTCAACAAAAAAGCGTGCTGCTTATATACTGCCCCATAGCGCTTCAAGCACTCTCTGGGTGGTTTACAAGTTAATTATGCAGGCTACACATCAACAAGCTGGTATACGTACATCCAGAGGTGGACAACTAAGACAGGGAATGGTTTGGAAGGAAACCAAACTTTATGAGGAAAAGTTGAATTTGTTATGTGCAGCTTGCAGAAGAAAAGACTAAGATACAATAATCACCTTAAACATTTTAAGGTCTGTCATATAAATAATGGAGCAAGCTTGTTTTCTGGAACTCCAGAGGTTGGATCCAAAGTAAATGATCCAAATTATGAGAAAGAAGAATTAAAATGGGAATCAGATAAAACTTCCTAACAGAGCTGTTTGACAGTGGGGTGAAATACATCATAAGATGGTAGACTCTCCTTCATCCAACAGAAGGGATGCTTTTCCTATATCTACAGAGAGTTGGATTTATTAACCTCTGGAGTTCCTTCCCACTCTACAGTTCTATGATTATACAATTCTGTGACATTTGCAGAAGGGAAGTTTCTGTTCTCAGACCTTCACCTCTTCTACTACCCCAATCATTCAAGGATCTAGATTACATAAAAAAA